GCATCAGCCTCAATCACAAAGGTCCGGGAGAAATCCAGCATAGCTAGAGTCGGAGTAGAGGTCATGGCCTGCTTTAGCCGCTGGAAAGCAGTCTCCGCCTCCGGAGTCCATGCGAACCCGCCCTTCTTCAGAAGATTAGTCAAGGGCCGGGCGATCATGCTGTACCCCTGCACAAACTTCCGGTAATACCCTGTCAAGCCCAAAAAACTTCTCAGCTCCGTCACCGTGGTCGGGGTAGGCCACTCGACCATCGCCTGTATCTTCGACTGGTCCACCTGCACCCCCTGGGGTGTGACAATGTGACCCAAGTACTCGACCTTCTGTACCCCGAACGCGCACTTCGAGGCCTTGAGGTAGTACTGGTGATGCCGCAACACCTCAAAGACTGTCTGCAAATGCTCTTCCCATGATGGGCTGTAAATCAGAATGTCATAAAAAAATACCAGAACATACCGGCGCAGTAGTGGTCTGAAAATGTCGTTCATAACCGCCTGGAACATCGAGGGAGCATTGCACAAGCCGAAGGGCATAACCAAGTACTCATAATGGCCATTATGAGTCCTGAAAGCGGTCTTGTGCGCATCCTCCTCCTGCATCCGTATCTGGTGGTACCCGGCTCTCAGATCGAGCTTAGTGAAATAGGCTGAGCCATGAAGCTCGTCGAGCATGTCGTCTACTGTGGGAATCGGAAACCGATCCCTCACCGTCGCAGCATTGAGTGCCCTATAGTCTGTGCAGAACCACCAAGTCCCATCCTTTTTCTTGACCAGAAGTGCCGGCGAAGAAAAAGGACTAGTGCTAGGGCGGATTAGCCCGGTCTCAAGCATCTCTTTCACCTGTCGCTCGATCTCTTCCTTTTGCGAGTGTCCATACCGATATGGTCGGACATTCACAGCCTCCACGCCTTCCTTGAGCTGGATCCGGTGATCAATCTGCCTGTGGGGTGGCAAAGTGGTAGGTGTCTGGAAGAGCTCCGGAAATGCATCTAGTACCCGCTGCAGATCAGGGGCCACCTCCTTCGCGTCGGTTGCCACTGTGGGCCAGCAGAGGACTGCCAGCTCAGCCTCGCCCTCCGCCGTGCACTCATGGATCGAAATGGGCCCTAAAGCCGTCGTGAGCCCTCTCAGACTCCACTCCTTATCTCTCCACTTGAACCGCATAGTCAGATGTCGCCAATCAGTAGTCACCGGTCCCAATTCCTGCAACCATGGAACAGCCAAAATCAAGTCAAACCCGCGGATGGGTAGGACATACATATCTGCAGTGACGGGCAGCCCTTGAATCTCGAAGGGAAGCTGCCGATACACTGCCCGGCACCGCATCGGGGCGCCATTGGCAACCTTGACCACTATAGACTCCACCATGCTCGGCCTTTGAGGAAGCTTCTTATCCAGTTCCTCGCTAATGAAGTTGAGAGTCGCGCCGCTGTCCACCAACGTCAGAGCAGTGGTATCAGCTATCTCAGCTCGGAAACAGAGTGTTCCCGGCGTAGGCAGACCGGTCACTGAATGGAGCGAGATCACCGGAGCCGCCGGCGACAGCCCGCTGCTCTTGCCGTCCGCCACTGGACCCACCGCCCCGCTGCCTCGGTGCCCGAACGTCGGCGACCTTCCACGGTCGAGTACCGCCCCCGCGCGCGGCGAGCGCCGCTGCTCACCCGCCGAGGCCGACCCGCCTGGCGCCGCCGCCACCTCCCCGACCGCCGGTCCTTCGCGCGGCGTCGTCGCCAGCGCCAGCTCGCCCGGACCGCCTGCCGTCACCTCTGGGCAGCCTCCCTCGCACGCCGATGCTTTCCGGGCGGCGCAGAGAGCGTCAATTCGCTGCAGCAATCGTGTCCAAGAAGGATCAGAGAGACTTGAGGAGCTCATGTTGGCTCTGATACCAATTGATAGAGAAGATTAGGGTTTGGGGGTGAGAAGAAAAATTGGGGATTGGGAAAGAATTAGGGATTGGAAATCGAATTGGGGAAGAACAGAGAAAAGAGGGATTTTAGGGATTTTGGTGTTATTATTGCTTAACCGTAAATGAATGTGCAGAACCCTATTTATGAGTTTCAGAAACTAACACAGAATAACAAAACCCAACCCGGCCCAGTCGGCCAAACCCAACCCGACCCCCCTACCCGCGCGGGTCTCTATCACTTTCATCGGTTGATTTGCTCTACTTCTGTTTGATGTCTTCGAAGGTTCGACAATGGTTGATGTAGATCATATGAATTTTATCAAAGAACTATTTTGAATTCTTAAACAATGTGAGCTTGGGAATGGTCCTCAGTGTTTGCTTCTCTACTTACTTTCAGCCAACATTGTCAGGGAAATTTGATCCTGCTGTCTTAGCAGCTCTGCCACCATCACGCAATTGGATCTCCAGGTGCAGGTAGGAAGAGAGAGACATTTGTCATTTTTGTGGCAGCAACATATGCCCTCTTTGCTCAAGTTGTTCTGCAATCATCATTTTCTCTTCGATTGCATCTCATGTCTAATTAGATGCACCCTCCTGATAAGGTCTTTTTTCTCCATGTCTGCTGTCAAAAGGGTTGAGATTGCCTGTTACTTAGACATCCGACCTGGAAATGGATGATGCGATCAACTCGGTAAACCCAGTAAGAAGGAAGCAGCAGGAGAAGCTGAAGAACATCCATAAAATTCTGACTCGAGTCCCACTGTTAGAGAACCGCAAAATCTGCAGGACCCTCTATACAACCCTCGAGGGAGATCCCACCGACAAGGGTCGTAATGGTGGTTTGATGGATGAAGTCGAGTTTGCTGCTTTGTCATCACCAGATGTCTTTTAACAAAAGCGCAGTTGTTACGGCTCCATGCACCAAGACATTGGTTGAAAATCACTTTATAAGCGACATCGTAAGACATCTAGGGGTCGTTTGGAAGTTGCGTATGTTAAATCGTTGTATTGTTATGAATCACTATGATATAAATGCATGCATTGATACAATAGATGCATTTTGAAATTACATTGTTTGGTTGTTGAGATTATAATTTATGAATTGATTGTTATAAAGTTACTTTATAAGGAAATGTCATATTTGTCCTCCACTTTTAATATAAAACAAAAAGAACTATGGACATAATTGGAAAAAGTAGAGGTGCTCAATTATTAAACCAACAATCACAACAATCTCAACTTTTAGTTGAGATTGTACAATCCCTCACTTTTGTTGATTGTTGATGGGACCCACACAAAACAATACATGCATTGTTTTGCAACTTGACACTTCCAAACGTTATATTGTGGACAATGCATGTATTTAACAAATACAACACTCACAATCGCAACTTCCAAACGACCCCTAATATATGAATCTCTTGAGCATCAGTTAATTGTTTTGTTCAGCTAGTTTATCCTTTTATTTAAGAGCAAGTTTTTTGCCAGAAAGAATGGAATCACAACCATCCTCAACATGAAGCAAGCTCAAAGAAATTGAAAGGAGGTCATCTTAATTCTCTTCACCAAATGAGGGTGGGAAAGACTCCCAATAGTCTCTTTGAATCTTCAATAAAGCCACCAATCAAAATGCCACAACAATAGGAATAGGAACTTCCAATGATAGATTCCATTGATAAAAAAAGTTACACGATAGGAGGAGGACCCTTTCTTTTCTCTTTTTCATCTTTTATTTCACCTCATGTCCTAACCTCTCTATAGTTTTCCCTCCAATAAGTGTTGCTGCCTTTAAATCTCAACCTTCCAAGTTTTCCAAGTGGTGAAGATTAGGTGTCCCTTTATTCTAAGTTAGTAGGATTTGACTGGATTGAGGCAAATCTAGTTTACATTGACAAAGTGTGTGAACATGGATGCTATATTATTATGAGTTGTTCAACTGTTCCAGGACACACCATTAACTAATTCTTTAATAAGCCCATGGTTGATGCTGATGTAATACTAAATTAGGGTTCATGGAGGGAAGATAAAGGAGAGCAAAAGAGGGGAAATTGTATAATTTCAAAGGGGGCACATGGGTTTGAGTAAAGAAATGGTCCCTACTGCATTGGCCATTACCAGCCAAAGAGTTTGAATTAAAGGCCCCATTATTGATTGAGTCAATGAATAGATACCACAACCCCCACATTGCCCCACTTCAAAGGAAACAGATCACCCTTCAAAGGACTTACAGAAACAGAACACCCTTCTGTTATAAAAAGACCAAAAGGAAAACAACAAGAGAATACAAGAAAGTAAAAGCAAGATGGCCAGTTCCCCCTTTTGATCAAGTTCAGGCATATATAAGACTCTGTCAGTGAGATTTGAGATGCAAAAGAAGCACTCAGATATGACCACATATGCTGACAGTAATGATCCCCAGCATAGGATGTCTGTACCAGGAGGAGTCAGTATTCAGTACTTCAAAGCTAATAGAGGAGTCACTTATCAGTACATCAAAGCTACTATTCTAACCTCCCAAAGCTCGATCCGCCTATGAAATTATGCATCTGCATTTGTCAGCATTTGAAATACCACACCAGTAGCTACCAATCCTAGTCCCATTTCGCTCGAATGGCTGTTTAGAGAGATATGGCAAACGTAGCTGTTGCAATAGCCTTGTCTAATTCGAATGTAGTAAATAGGAAACCAAACAGCTTCTTGCATGCTTAAACAAAAGGTGATCAAGTACATACTTTTGCTTTATAGAAGAGAGGACAGCAAGATCCAGAATATTCAGACACAAGATCATTGTACAGAGAGAAGAAAGGGCATCATCTGTTGACTATTTCAGGTCTCCTACATCTATGCTAATCGGTCAATCTTTATCGATGTACTTCATAATGATTTGGAGATCAGCAAGCAAGCAGATCAGTTGACAAAATATATCCCACACAACTAACCATCGCAAGATATTCGAATTAGCAACCCCCTCAAAAAAATTTAACAATATGAGAAGCAACACAAGGACAAACTTTGAGCAATAGCTTAATGGCTAGAGACCTCACAGAATTGAGAATGCTTAATTTCTCTTGCGTTTCCTCCTCAAAATGCTTTGCAGTTTATTTCTCTTGTGTTTTCTTCATCCATGGCAAATCATCACTAAGTGAAGATGGCATACCCATATTGACATCTGTAGACATGCCCTTCTTGGACCAGAGCCAAATCTTGGAAACAGAGTAGCTCTCACCTTTGGATACACTCGTTATCTTTTTGCCTTTTGATTCCTTGTCAATGGAAGGATTCTCACTCTCTTCCCTTCCTCTAGTAAGCTTTACACCAAGACTCTGCCCATCATCATGGCTCAAAGGAACCCTGAGATCTGAATTGGCCAACACGTATTGATACGAACCCATCGAGAAACACCGCCTTGCATCTAAATTGCTGCTACTAGTTTCTCCACCTGCCACATCACCACCACCACCACCATCTAACCTCCTGAATTTGCCCAACCGAACAGGCACGACGCCTTTTTTAACAACTTCCTCAATCTCCACAGTTTTCTGCGGAGGAGGAACACCATTTCCCACATTACTCCCCTGGCAGCCTTCATCTTCTCTGAAATCATCATAATCAAATATAGGGTTCTCAAAACCAGGATTGAAAAGGGTTCCCCTACACAGAGGGCACGAAGAATTCGACAACAGCCATGTGTCTATGCAAGAGATGTGGAAAGCATGACTACACATGGGAAGCAACCTCAGCTTGTCCTTCTCGGAGAACTCACAGAGACAAACAGCACAATCAAAAGGCTCCTTCAGACCCACAATCTCTTTGTACTGGAAAACAGGCAGTGCATCTATAAAAGCTTGATCCAGACCCGAATCATGGAGATGAAAAAGCTGCTGCAACTGCCTTTGAAGAGCATCTGAGCTAGACAATTCAGGATACCTACTGGACTGAGCACCCCCCGAGGAAGATGGGTGCTTTATGAGGAATCTAACCAGCAAGTGGAGCAAGCCAGAGATGAAGAAGAGCACTGCAAGTATCACTATAATGAACAGCACAGCAGGGCTGATTCTCGTACCAGAAGATGACGGAGACGATGAAGTAGAAGGAGGAGAAGGCGCTGCCGAATCTTTATGGAAGCCCGTATCTGCATACGGAGAAACCAAGGCAGGAGGAGGTGGTGGTGGTGGGTATGTCAAAAACCCATCTTTTTGGTGGATGTGATGCTGAATCCACGCCATCTTCAAGTGGGTATGCTCCATTAACCATCCACTATGCTCTGACATCCCACAGATCACCACAGATCCCCCCTCAAGAAAGAAGAACACTTTAACTTTCCACTAAGACGGAAACCCAGGAAGAGACGAACGAAAACAGCCCAGAACTCCTCCTTCCTACTCCTTCGTTCTCTCTCTCTGAGACATTTCAACAAACAGGCAGAACACTAGAAGACAGCAGGAGCAGGTTGAATTGAACCATCCAAAAGGTAGGGAAACGACAAGTCCTTCAAAAAACCAGCACAATGAACCACCAAACATTAATATATTATAAGAAGGGGAAAGAAAGAAAAGAGGAAAGTGGGAAAAGCTTCTGAGACTAACCAAATGCGAGAACTGTAATTTTCTGGGAGCGGGAGAAAGCTTTGATTCTTGTGACGAGACGTCGAGTAAGACAATCCGTATATAGCGAAGCGGGCAGAGGAGGAAAACGGCGAAGCAAGAGGAAAGTAAGCAGATTTGGAGCGGAGAGGAAAGAGTCGGAGAAAGGGAAAGAGGGAGGGACGACAGTGAAGCAAGAGCAAGAGGAGAAAGATTCCTACCGTCACTAGTGTGGGTGGCAAACTAATGGGTTTGGTCCCTGTCACGTGCCGACTTCTTCTGCTCGCTTTTCTGGGATGAAATGCAAATCTTATTGGGCGTTTTATAAGCCCAATTGGACCAAGTCTTTTGTCAGGTTTGGGCTCAAATTATTTGATAAGGGCCCAATTTTTGGCCTTATTAGCCGGGGCCAGTACTACGGTGCCGCAGTAACCGATGCCGCTCTTTCTAATTGGTCCATGTGGATCTGATGTGGCACCGAATAGTTTAGTTAACCCATATCCAAATACAGTGGCCCGTATAACTGGCCCAAACCTCCACCTACTCAAACAAACGGAGAAAAGCTCTCCGTCTTCAACTAATTTTCTATTGTCTTCATTGTTCAATTAAAATTAATGTGATTTTCACTGCATTTGATTTTCTGCAGGAACAAGAGAAAAAAAAAACAAAAGCGCAAACGCAGAGTCCAACGTTGTCTTCCGCGCGCTCCTCGCCGGTGAACTTCTCCGCCGCCGATGCAATCCCCCATGCAACATCTCCGATTCACCTCCAATAAATTCCACTGCTCCAAAACTCTTCTTCCCCTTATTTGCCCCATTCGACGTCCTCACTCCTCAGTCTGAATTTTCGATTCTGTGATTGTCTGTTCGTTTTTCTCTGTAGGCTTGATGGGGTCTTATTGCTCAGACCAAGGTTCTATCTCCTACTTTGTTATCACGTTGGGGTTAGGCGAACTCCGCATCCCTATATTGATCATTTAGTAGGGTTCCATTCATGTTTTGGGTTAGATTACAGTGGAGCAAAAATTTACTCATGAGAATGAAATGGTTCTGTGATTGTGATGCAGGTAGGCTTTTGCTTATTTCCCCTATTGGCTTTACATAGTAACACGTGGAGGATCATGGGGCTCAGCTTGGGGCTCTGTTTCTCAGATTGAAATTTTATTGTTAGTTGCTTGTGTTCTTTAATTCTACTCACAAGAATGTACCTGTTAATATATATGCTCTGTTGGGATTGTTTTACCAGTTTACTTTACATACCAATCGCTTGAAGCAGATGATGAAACCCAACAAATAAGTTGCTCTGTTGGGATTGTTTTGCCAGTTTTCTCAACTCCCATAACCTTAAGAGAAGAAGATTAATTCAACCCCACTCTGCTCTATTCTTTCTTTCCTCTGTTCAGCCGCCCACCAGGAATTTAAAAATTTCCCAGGAACCGAACAGATAAATAAAGAGAAAATCTCATAAACGGGACGTGGCCACCTGATGCACCACCGTCGGGAAGGAACTGATCAAATTGAGAAGTGAATTACATACGATGCCAATCATTCAATTCAGGGTATGGTTGCCGTCACCACCACTGTCGCCGTCGAGTACCTTCATTTAACCCATTTCCCAATTTAGCAACGAACATGTTCCCCCTCCTCTTACTTGTATGCAGTGCACACAACATAGTCCTTTACTATCGCAGCGAAGTGAGGAAGACAATGAGGGAGTTCAGTAGACCCCGATGGAAGAGACTGGATATTGGATTGGCGACGGAGAAATCGTCGGAGTGAGAGACAGAGGAAGGCAACGCTTGGTTGGGGTTTTGTTTTTTTGTTTTTTTCAGGTTAATGGATAAAGGAATTGAAGAGAAAATTCAAATGAGATTCGAAAGGAATTAATGAAAAAATAACAAAGCATAACGGAGGAGAGAAGACGGAATAACGGGTTTATTGTCTGTGAGTGAATGATATGGGTTTGAGGCTTTGGGCCAGCAGGTTTGGATCAGAACTTATTAAATTAAATTAGTGCCACTTCAATTCCAGGTGGACCAATAGAAATCTGCGTTATCGGTGCTACACACTTTTTAGAGCGGCACCGTAGTATTGGCCATTAGCCGGACGTTCGAGTTTTTTCTGCAAAACTTTCTCTGTTCAATTCCACTAGCTTATTACCCGCCTTTGGCCGAACGTAATGACGGAAATGGACTTTTAGATTTTAATTGATATTATCCGTTAACATGTATGCGGCGATGGTCGGAGGTAGGTCAACAACACCATATAGTAATATGATGGAAAGTCATTATCCCATTGCATAAAAAACAGTAAAACATAAACACTATAATGGACAATCCAAACCAAGTCATTAGCCTTAATTATAGCTACTATTGCTATGAACCATGATGCCCCTAGAGTGAACATGAAAAAACCAAAAGAATGCTTACCTAGCTCCAATTATTGATGGTAAAAATGGAAGCCACTGAGAGATTTCATAAGAAAAACCCAATCTGGATTGTACTTAGACCAAAAACCACAGTGACACCAAATGTGATGAAACCCTCGCCGAGAAAACAAAAACCAGCAATGTCCAAATCAAGTGGATGGAATGCGTCGACCAGTTTTTTCTGATATATAGTTTTGTTAATTAAAATGAAAAAAAAATACAAAGCATGCAATCTGCTATAGAAATCTCATATACAAACAAAAGAAACAGCCAAGCAACATATACGTGGAAGCACCAACACATAATAACTTTTGTCAATATCCCTACCACTGTGAAATCCTATACCAAAGCACTCCTAACCACTCTGCTACACTAAACACACAAATGACTTACAGCTCTGTACTTTCTATCACTTCAATCTGTATATCTCATGAACCATCCCCATTATCACGACTCTTATCTTTCTCGACAACAAACACACTAATTGGTCCACTCTTACTCCTTCTCTTGGCATCTACATGGCATATTGCATCAGTACAATTTATGGCTTGGGATAATATCACTTCAGTAATTTACAAATTTACATGAAATGAAAGGAATGATTTAGCCTCGTAAAATTTAGAGTACCAATGACGATTCATCTCTTCTCCTCGGTGACTTCATTAATAAAATAAGACGCATTCTATATGATCATACTATGGCATTTTGTATAAACCATTTCCGCATCGCAACTCCAAGAGCTAACTTGCTGGGACTCTCATCTAGGTAAACAACTTGTATCAACATCAAGCATGAAAACAAAAATTGTTTTGGTTGAGATACTATCAGGATCTTGTCACATGTTTCTTCTCTTATAGTCATTTTGTTTTGTTTCTCTTTTCTTTTCTTTCCTTTTCTTCAACGACAATACTATAAAAAAAACTACCATTATTTTCAGTATAACTCGAAAGTAGTCGTGGAAGTAGCAGTCATAGTGGGCGGGCCACGACGTAGTCATTGTTGAACCACTCTTCTTTTGTCTTTTTACTTTCAAAGTTCGGTGAGAAATTAAAATGAGGAGACAATAATTTCTTGTACTTGATGAATTCCATTTCAATTGCTGACTCTCGCATTGCAAAGATTTGAAGAATTGGTTGTGGAAAACTTGACAGTATTAATATTACTTCCTTTCTAGTCTACATGAAGCATTGATTACTTCCTCCCTTTTTTTCATAGAAATTACATTTTTTCGTTAGCAGATTCGGTCAATAACTTTGTGGTGCAATAATCTCATGTATAACCCAATAAGAATCGCCACATCAGCGTTTCTTTCTCTCTCATCGAAAAAATTTTAATTTCCCTTCCTTAATCTTTAACAGATGATTTCTCACTCATTATCAGTCGGAATTTATTTTTTTTTGCACAATTAGATCAGATTAATTGTGTTTTTCAAAATGATATCCACTTTGATATTTTTTGGAACAAAAAAATTTGTCAGTTAATACCAGTCTATATCATATAGTATTGACTGTACCATATGGTATTGACTAGTATTAAATAAGAGTACCATATGGTATGAAAAATATCACCTCATACCACGGTGGTATAGTATGGTATGAAGTTGGTAACGAGAGGTATGGAATTTTTTCACCCAAAATTTTTTGAAATCCAATAGATCATGATTAAATAGTTGCTTCTGTACAAAAATTTCCGAAAATAGCTATAAAACGAAGGAGATACCATATGGTATGGAGTTGGTGACGAGAGGTATGAAATTTTTTTCTCAAGAAATATTGAAAATGGATATCATTTTGTAGAGCACAACGAACTCGTTCCATCTGTGCGAAAAAATTGAAATCCGAGTTAGAATGAAGAAGATATGATCCAATCAAGAAAATTAGAGAAAATAAAATTCTTTAATTCATCACCCTTAAATCTGCACTGTGGCGGACCCAGGATTTTGTGATAGGTGTGTCAGCCCATAAAAATAACATTTTAAATAATAATTAATTAATTAAAAATAATTAATTAATTAAAATCAATATATCATTGTATTTTTCAAAATCACCAATTTCATTGTATTTTATAGTGAACCATGACGAATTTTTGAAAGATTATTAATTACATTAGTCCATTACATTGCAAAAACCTTTTTTAATGCAAACAACTAAGCAGTTATTCATATATTGATATTGGTAACTCAACTGATACCAAATATCATTCTTGATTAAGCTCTTATATGAGAAATGTCATTTTGTAGCTTGCGGTTGCAAGAGGTAAAGTCAACACTAATTTAATATGGAAAAGTTGGAATAGGGAGCTCAAAGGGTAGCCACAAATGTCAACGTGGAAATTTGATTGAGAATGAGGATGTTGCCGACACCGACAATTTGAGGGTGTCGACAGGCATTAATGTGGAAAGTAGCAACTAAACTAGAAAGCATATTGGAAATTAACTTAAAGAAAAAACCTATTGAAGAACCTACGACGAAAGACAACATGGAATTCACAATCTTATTACTTGACTTGACTCAACCAGCTTATAAATCAATTTAATTCTCAGTAAAATTACTAAGGTTATCTCTTAGGTGATATCAATCTCTATGAATACTCACTACATACATACTAAGTAGTTAATTAATTGTTTACTCTTGTACAACCAACTAATTAACTACCTAGTCTTAAGTACGATAACTCCTATGTTTACACATTTTAATAACATTATGACCACAAAAAATTTGTAGTATGATAAGGTGTGTCGGTAACAATGATCGAAGGTGTGTCGGAGATCCCATATTCGAATTTTTTATACCATAAAAATTTAGGTTCTTCAAAAAAAATTCAGGCGAAGGTGTGTCGGCCTGTCGGGTGACACACCTCCCTCATATGTGGGTCCGCCAATGAATCTGCAGCCACTTAAAACAAGGGTCTATATTTAGTTACTCATAATTATACATCCTAAGATTATGCACAATATTTTTGAACCTTTTTTTCAATTCTCTTTATGCTTCCTAAGATTATGCACTGTATTTCCAATCCTCTCTTTCGATTCTCTTTTGGTAACAAAATATAAGGACTTTAATGAAAATATATCGACAGTGACGCCAATTTGAACAAGCTGGGCCATCTGTTAAAACAACCAACTCTGATCCATATGGATTTATGTCTGGCCCAAACTGGCCCGTTAGTACCGGTGGATTGGAGGCTGTTTATTTATTTATTTTTTTTTTATAATGGTGAGTATATTAAAACAAGAACCAAGAACACAAGTCGGAATAATATTCATTTTAGAAAGAAAAAATAAAGAGTTGGGAACCTACAATAACAGTCCAAGGCCGCTGGCGATTCGAGAGAAAACCGTCGCGCTGCAGACGCAGGGCAAATGGACGGACAAGGTCCAAGCCGACGACGAGGAATTCCACGAAGGCGGCGCCTCCGTGTTCCGGATGTGGGAAGGCGGGGTGCTCGATCTCTATGACGACCGCCGCATCGCCGTCGAATCCTTCTGTTTCCGACTGAACGAACGGCCCGATCTCCCGGCTTGTCCTGCGGCCTTCTGGTTTGGCGCGATTTCAGAGAATAGATTGAGGGAAAGAAGAACTCGCGGAAGACGGAGGCTTATAGAGTACAGAGTGCCACCGAGGAATGAGATGTAGCGGGTGAATCTACCGGTTACGGCGGCAACCGTCAAAAGCACCGTCGGTTACAATTCCGGGGCAGTGGCGGTTACTTTGGGCAGCCTCTGGATCTGCTTCGCCCTCTTTCTCGCCATCGTGCGATCCAGCAGATTCCTGCGCCACGCCATCGTGCGTCAATTCTGGATTTGACTCTATCCTTGAAATCCTTCTCGTGGATCTTATTTTTTGTAGGGGTTTTTTGACGAGTGGCGGTCCGGGCTCCTACGGCGACTCCCACCGGTGGACGGCGAGTCTTTCCGGCCTTGTTACTACGTTGCGGTTTCTTTTTGGTGCAGTTACAACTCTTGGCAGGCACGTTCTCAATTTTTATTTCTTTACTTATTTTCTTATTTTTAAGGGTAAGCAAAAATGTTATGGAATCCTAATCGTTGCTACTCTGTTGTATGTTTTGTGGTGAATCCTAATTGGTCATACGATGAGCAATGGAGAATGATGTCGATCATGATTGAGGTGGAGGTGGAGCAATGCTTGAAGACCTCTTTTACATTTGTGTCTTTTGTTTTTGCTCTTAGTAGTACTAACAGGGCTGCCCATCGCGTGGCACAAACGGCCCTTGCATCGGTAGCAACCCTTTTGGTTGACTACCGTTTTTTCATTTTCACCGCACTGTAATACCCTATCTATTACGATCTATCTATGGCAAAAAAAAAAAAAAAAAAAGAACACAAGTCCAAGAACAACAGGGGAAGAAAACAAAAGGAAGAAAAAAAAAACAAATAAAAATAGAAGATACAAAACAGAACTACAGAAGCCCCTATCAGCACAAGAAGTGCTCCCCGCACTCGAAGCCCCTAAAACGACGCCCCAACCAAGCACTGGAAAAGGAAAAAAAGAACAAAGAACAAGGAACAAAGAAAAGGGAGCGGAGACGAATTGATCTAGCTCATTGGTTTGCCAGCATTGTAATCATTGATTCGCTAGCCATTTAGTTTATTGCATTTATATGATTAAATACCAAATTCAAATTTAATATTTTGTACGTTAAAAAAATTCTAATAAAAAAGTCGATATCGTACGTGATGCTCTTTAGTTGAAATGTCGATATCGTTAATACACATGATGGTCTGTTAAATAATTTTCTCTATGTATGTGATGTTTTCCTACTCCAACGAAAAAATAATAATTTTATGTTACTGACAATTATAAAAATTGACACAACCACATCACCAACAACGAGAAAGAAAATGAATAGTATCCACACGTGACTAATTAATCATCATCTATTCATTCCCAGCGGCGGCCTTGTTGATAACGGAGGAGACCTTGGGCACGTGTACAGGGTACTCATCGATCTCATCAACCCAGGGATTCCTCTTCTCCTTGGCCGGGTCGACCGTCCGGAGCGCCCGCCAGACCGCGCTGTTGCACTTGAAACCCGACCCGAAAGCGATCTGCCACGTCCGGTCCCCCTTCCGGATCCGGCCCTTGGCCTCGCTGTAGGCCAGCTCGTACCAGAGCGAGCTGCTGGACGTGTTGCCGAATCGGTGCAGCGTCATTCTAGAAGGTTCCATGTGCCACTCGGTGAGTTCCAGGTTCTTCTCCAGCTCGTCCAGCACCGCCCGCCCGCCGGCGTGGATGCAGAAGTGCTCGAACGCCAGCTTGAAGTCCGGGATGTATGGCTTGATCTTCTTAACCTGAAAGCCAGAAATGTGAGTGATGGGACTCGATCGGCACTTGATGGTTACTATGTATTGGCTTACGCACTACACACATTATTCCTTTAACACTTTAGTTTACATCAAGGATGGAAAATCATATCGTACCGCTGACTTTCCTGGTACAACCTCCGATACAATTTTTCAGTCCTTGATTTTCATGTTATTGTCAATCCGTTTAATTTTTTCCATTCATTTTATAGCTTATAAACCAAACACGTATAAAATTCGAACACATTTAATATCCATATTTCTTGAACTAAATTGATAAGTTGACCCCTAACCAATGCATTACCTAGTTAATCGCTAAACCTTCAAGTCAGAATCCTAACCCTAAACACCAAATTCTAAATCCTAAATTTCTAAATACTAAATCTTTCAGGTTAAAGTAAATCTTGAATGATTTGTACTAATTCATTCACTTTCTTGCACATTATATCACAAGCGATCGTTGACATCGTTTTAACTTAAATCGCCTATTCAAAATGACGATTATTAAACAATTAAATTCAATGTACCCAAAAAAGTGGGTGGACCGAACACAATACTATTAACTAAGTAACTTTAGTAAAAAGTCTTGCATACAGTTTTGAAAACCGACCTGAAACACCTTCCGGGCGACGAGGGTGGCGAAGAAGAGGAGCTGCTCCGACATGGGAAGGACCAAAGGACCCAACGTGGTGATGTTGGTCTTCAGGGCCTCCCCGGCGACGGCCATGAGGTCCTTGGAGAGTGACACGCCGACGCGCCCCGTGTCGTCCTCCCTCTGGAACACGCAGTTGTAGCACTTGTCGTCGGCGCCCTTGTGGGTCCGGACGGTGTGGACGAGCTGGTACTTGGATCGGCGGCGGTCGGAGGAGCGGTTCGAGAGGAGGATGGCGGCGCCGCCCATGCGGAAGAGGCAGTTCGACACCAGCATCGACCGGTCGTTGCCGAAGTACCAGTTTAGGGTGATGTTCTCCATGCTCACCACCAGCGCGTACGAGTTGGGATGTACCTGCAGTAAAAAAAAAAAAAAATTCGGTTAATTAACCGACTGATGGTAAAAAGTAAATCGTTTACTATGTCATCAAAGTAGCCGGTGCATAGTTAGAGGTGAGAATTGTGAAAATGTATCCAAGGTTATACTAGAAAAGTTAGTAATAGGATATTTTAGATTAAAATTGTGGTTTAATTGTTTTATACTGTTAAAAGTTAAAACTGCCTATTAATTTGATTTGGTATCCGATATTTCCAATATGATAAATACGTAATCTGATATAATAGGACTTCTCGGTCATTGATTAGAGGTAGTTGAACTGCCAACCCTACCTATATATAAGTCCCATAATAATATTTGTATTTGACAATATGTTATTGTGAGACAATGGGAAGTGTCTCAGGGCGGTGGGGAAGATGAGCAGAAAATTGACCGACTACTAAAGCTACTTGCTATAGCTATAGAGGTAAGCATTTATGAAACCGTGGGGGCAATCGAAGCTTTCCCAATTGGAAAACCTCGACATTTGACAACCTCCCAAAGCTGGAAAACTTATAAGCTGTTTGGAAATTGAGATAGTGATATCACATAAAGTTAAGGGCACGTCTAGTATCATTGTCATACAATTGTGTTTTTATTGAGGTTGTGACAATCTAGAGAACATAAAGCGCTAAAATTGATAACAAATATGTTTAGCTTGTAATTTTGAAAAATTTGAAAACCAGTAGCAATTAATAATGGTAATACCATTTTGGAGATGAGTTATGCAAAAATTGACAAGAAAAAAAAATGTAAAATGTTAATCCAGTGAGATTTGGTTCGTAACCTCATTTTAATATAGCTATTCATTCAACCATTAGAATTGCGCGTAAAACAAGTTTTAGAACTAATAACAAAGCTGCTAATTAAGAAACTTTTACTTATTCCTGCTAGTTTATATTGTGTTGCCAACTTATGTTATCACAACACATTAAAAAAATTAGAACTAAATATATTTTCAGTCTTTTTTAATAGGAAGAAACAGAAACAACGAGTGATATTAATTAATTAAGGCGAGCGTCACATATCTATCTATGTCATTTATTAGACGGTTCCATGCAGCACTAACTGCAAGCTGGCCAACTATAGCTCTCCAACTATATACGTACGTACGTATGTGTATATATATGGTAATGCCGTGGTGGAATTTCCTTCTGCCCACATATATACATGCCGCCTGACGTAACCTCGCGAGTTAATCAGGTCGAAATTAAGACGCGATGTTGCGATTTCTGACTCCACCACTACACTAGGAATTAATTAACACGATAATTAACTTAATCGCTTGAATTATGCATAGAGAATCAACGAAACAATGAATTAAATTAACCTGTAACAACTGCTTGGCGAGGTCGATGGAGATAAGTCCCGCACTACACCCCATCCCACCAAGATTATAGCTCATCACATTCCCCCTGAGCTTGTACCGGTTCACCACCATGGCCGACAGAGACGGCGTCGGATTGAACAAGCTACAGTTCACGATGACGATCCCGATGTCCTTGGCCCTGACCCGGGTCTTCTCCAGCAGCTGGTCGATGGCGCCGAACATCACCTCCTCGGCCTCCTTCCTCGCCATCTCCATGTTGGGGTTGATGGGCTCCCTCATGACTGCCTCGGGAAGGTACGTCCTCTGGCCCAGACCGGACCGCTCCAGGATCCGCTTCTGGAACGCCACGTTGTCGTCGGTGAACGTCCCCGCCGCGATGGACTTGTCGTAGAAGATCTCGCGGGTGCACTGCAGGTCCGGTCCTGGGGGCCTGTAGCAGGCAAAGTCGACGAGATATGTTTTCCTGGGGCGGGTGGTGGAGTAGATGGTGGCGAGGAAGATTATGAGGCAGGTGCATAGCATGAGAGCGACAGAGTTGGATTGGAGCTGGGCCCAGAGGTTGAGGAGATCTTGGGCCGAGAGGGTGGAGAGGTGGGCCGAGCCGACGGCTAGGAGGGGGAGGATGAGGAGGTACATGGCGTTGGAGATGAGGTGGTGGTAGCCGAGCTTGACGTACTTGAGCCGGACGGAGAGCAGGAAGTTGGGCTTATCGACCGTGGCCTGTTGCTGTGATGGCGGCAGTCTTTCCTCTGTCATGTTCCGATTTGTGGCCCGACGCGACGTGCGAGAGTTGGAAGTGTCAGGAAAATTGCGTGGAAATGATCGGAATTTAAAAGCGTGATTGATCACTCTTCCTTGGAGTGTTGTTTGCCTTCACAACGAAATTGTTGGTTGGAATCGAGCGAATCACCTTGGTGGGGGTGGGGGAGATTGTTGAGAGGATGGAGAGGGAAGGGGAAATGGTATGGAATTGGGAGAGGGAGAGGGAGAGGGAGAGGGAGAGGGAGAGGGGGGAGTGATTTTAAAGGTGGGAGGGAAAAGGAGGATGCAACTACCCCCCAACGAACTTTTAATTGTTGTTGGCATAGTCCCGCGTCCAAGTCGGCGCGTGGTATTGAATTCCCGGTGGCTGGGGTGAAATGACGAGGTTGGGGTGGCGATGGGGAGGAATTTACTAGTCTGCCACGCCGTGCTATGGAGCTACGACACGTGTCGTGTAGTGTGGTGAAGGAACCGAAGTTGAGTTGAGGCGGGGGAAATGGGTTTGTGTAGGGTAGGGGAATGGGGAAAAGGGAAGAGGAGAGTGACGACAAGTTGGAGTCTTAATTTGGGAGTATTAGGGATAGATAGATTGATAGATGGAGAAAGTAATGATGTTGGTGATCTGTTTGGCGTTGTGGTTAGGTTAGCTTCTTCTCTAGTTGATCTTCATCATCTCCATCCTCATTGTATTATATTGATCGTAATATTAATATATAGGGTTAATTACATGGTTGGTCACTGAGATTACAAAAATCGTTCAAATTTGATCACTCGAAATATTTAAATCCATTGGTGGTACTTCCGTTGACTGAAACTGTTCACGTTTGGTCACTCTCCGTCCACTTCCGTTATCTTTATCCTATGTGGCAGTCAACTCTCATAGTTGACCGTTAAATGAGTGACTTGACAACAAGAAAATAATTAAATAAATAAAATTTGCTATTATTTAATTCCCACGTCATTTTAATAATAAAATAAAATAAATAAAATGAAAAAATAATTATTATAACTATAAAAAATGAAAAAAAAAACTTAAACAAACCAAAGAACTCACAAACCGGAGGAAAACTTACTTCCTCCCCTCAACCCCCACTTTCCCCGTTCTTCTTCTTCTTCTTCCTCATTCTTTTTTTTTTGTCAAAAGATATCATGTATTGATCGAAAAAATAGACAGTTACACCCTGGAAGCCAGCCAGGTCTGGAAATCAAAAAAGCGACTCATAGTCGGATACAAAGAGAGGTCATTTCTAGCTACCAAATGAGCTACCCTATTGTTATCCCGACCTACAAAACGCACACTAAAAACAGGTTGAGTACGAAAATAATGAGCAATCTCTTCTGGAACAGCACCCAACCGGCTATCTCTTGTGTCGGCTTGATTAATCTTGTCAATAACCACCTTCGCATCGCCCTCAAAACGGACTTCTGACAAACCTTGTTCCACACACCAAATAATTGCCTCCCTTAGCACCAGCAGTTCCACTACTACAGGATCATCCATTTGAGGAAACTGGACCCCTCTCGCCAGAAGGAGTGTCCGTGCTGGGTCAAGAATAACCTTCCCACCAGCCGAATGAGATCCGCCCTTAGTAGCCCCGTCCCACATGCAGACCAAATGGGAATCACCCACTGGAGTTGAAGATTGCATTATCGGCACGGGAACTCTAGGCCCCTGGTCCGCCGGCAGACCTATCCATTTCTCATACTGCTGCTGGAACTGCCGCATGAGCGCCGGGATCCCAAATTGTTTGCCTTCAAAGACTACCCAATTCCGAGATCGCCAAATCCTCCAAAGAACGGCAACAACAGCCATAACCACTGACGGTTGATGGATCAACCTCAACAGACGCTTAAGAAATAAAGGAAAAGTATGCCGAGGCAAACCCTCCCCCAAATATTCCAACCCAGAATAGTCCCAGAGAGCTCGCGCCACCGGACAATAAAGGAACAAATGTTCCATTGTCTCCGGGCCATCCCAACAAACGGGACACCGAGGCAGCACCTGGACATTTTTCTCAACCAGCGCCTCCAAAGTCGGCAGAGCCCGATTTAGAATTTGCCACACAAACACCTTCATCTTCGGAGGGATCTTGGCTTCCCAAACTTTAATCCAACTCGGCTTATCCATCCAGCTCACCGAGGATCGCCACCCACCCCTCCTCCTGTCCAAATCGACAGCCAAATGGTAAGCCGCTTTAACCGATAAGACCCCATCGGCCGTAAAATGCCAGATAAGCTTATCAGGCACATCCCAACGCGGCAGAGGAATCTCTTTAATAGCCTTACAAGTGGGCGGGTCAAACCATTGACTGAGCTTCTCATCAGACCATCTCCCTCCCCCCGCAGCAATAACCTCCGCTACCAAAGGATCACCCCCCTCAGGCAAGATCTGCGGATTATAGCATGGGGGATCTAGTTGGTACCTAGGTATCCAATTAGAATGAATGAGGGAGATCGACTGACCATTACCAACCTGCCATCTCAACCCCTACTCCAATAACTGACGTCCATGAAGGATACCTTGCCACCCCCAAGAGGGACGAGACCTAGCAGTCGCTGTCAAGAAGGACCCTTGAGGGAAGTACTTGCCTTTATAGACTTGGGCAATAAGTGAATGAGGTTCATTGAGTATACGCCAGCCAATCTTAGCCAAAAGAGCTTGATTGAAATGCTCGAACTGGCGAAAGCCCATCCCCCCTTCATACTTACTCCTGCACATGTTACGCCAGGACACCCATCTGATCTTGGGACTACCATCCTCAGCACCCCACCAAAAACGGGCCACATGTTTGTCTAACAGTCGACAGAGGGCCAGGGGGAGACGGAAACAAGACATCACATGAAGGGGCAGAGCCAACGCTATGGATTTAATCAACGTTTCCTTCGCAGCCCACGACAAAGTCCTTTGTTTCCACCCCTGAAGCCTTTCTAGAAGTTTGGTCTCCAAATATCTAAAAGTAGCCGTTTTAGATCGAGCAACCAGCGTTGGAAGCCCCAAGTACTTATCATGGACCCCCACCGCACCAACCCCAAGGATCGTGGCCAAGAACTCCTGATCTGGTATGGAAATATTCTTGCTAAAACACACCGCCGACTTGTCCAGATTAACGCGTTGACCACTCAGCTCCTCATATTCATTCAGTACCTCAATTAAATTCTCGCACTCCTGCAAAGAACCTCGCAAAAATAGATAAGAATCATCTGCAAAGAACAGATGCGAGATTCGTGGAGCACGAGGAGCTACTTTCACCCCCTCCAATTTTTTCTCCGTGATCGCCTTTCGGAGGAGGGCCGCAAACCCCTCCGTGCAAAGTACAAACAAGAGGGGAGAGAGCGGATCCCCCTGGCGAAGGCCCCTAGAGGCTGTGAAATATCCCGATGGAGAACCATTCATAAGAACCGAGAAGGATGAGGATCGAAGACATTCATGTATCCATCCTTGCCAAACTGAATTAAAACCCATCTTATCCAAAACTGCAAGCAGAAAGGGCCATTCGACTCTATCATAGGCCTTTTCCATGTCAACCTTCAGAGCCATGTACCCCTTCTTCCCTTGCTTTTTTATTTTCAGATAGTGCATTAATTCATGTCCTATAAGGATGTTATCAACAATCTGCCTGTCTCTGATAAAACCATTTTGGCCTTCCGAAACGATCTGAGGGAGCATGCTAGCCAGCCGCTCCGCCATGATTTTGGTAATCACTTTGTAAACAAACTGGCATAGACTAATCGGACGCAGTTGTCTAATAGTTTCCACCGAGTCCACTTTAGGGATCAAGGTGAGCCAGGTATGGTTAAAACTTCGTAGCATCCGACTGGAAGTAAAGAAGGAGATTACTGCTTCAACCACCGAAGTGCCCACAATATCCCAGAAGGCTTTAAAAAACTTCCCTGTGAAGCCATCCGAACCCGGAGCCTGCGTCGAGCCCATGGAAAAGACCGTCTTCCGGACCTCACTGGGCAAAACCTCCGCCGTCAAATGTGCATTCATTTGCGGAGTAACACTCCGGGCAATCGTCAGATTCTCCACCCTTTCAGCCATATTCGGGACCTGTGTTTCCGAGGTAAACAAGGTCTGGTAAAAATTGGTGGCTATAGAAGCCTTTCCAGTTTCCGCAGTGACCCATTCACCCTCCTCATTTCGAAGCCCAGAAACAAAATTCCTCTTCCGCCGAGCCCTTGTGACCGTATGGAAGTAAGCAGAATTTTGATCTCCTTTTATCAACCATTTAACTCTGGACTTTTGTTGCCAGAAAACCTCCTCCGCCTCCCATTGACGGGAGAGTTCTGATTCCAGGATCTTGATCTCATCCCAATCCACCGGATGGATTGATTTTATCCTATCAATCTCTGCTTGGAGCGTCTTAATATTGCGCAGGGAGTTAGTAGTGCCCGCCCTACTCCAATCATACAACAGATGACGGAGTTTCTTTAGGCGTTCCCACAGTCGAAACATAGGGGTGCCTTGGATTTCCTCCTGCCATACATAGTTGACCATGGCCCGTACCTCCGGATTATCCGCCCAACGGGCATCAAAACGGAACAGAGGCCTACTAGTACGAACATATGGTTTATCCGCAAGGAGAAGGGCACGATGATCTGACCCCTGGTCCGTGAAGTGTTTGACTAGCGTTTCCGGGTAAGTATCCATCCAGGATTGCGAGCAAATCGCTCTATCCAGCCGTGCACGAATGCATGCATCCCCCATACGCTTATTAGTCCAAGTAAACAGATCTCCTTGGTAACCAGGATCGTGGAGACCCAAATCCTGAACAAAATCATGGAGACTAACAGCTTGGGCCGCATTCCACTCCCGCCCCCCATCCTTTTCACTCTCCTGCAGAGTAGTATTAAAATCGCTTATGAGCACATAAGGGAGGTTGATATTCGCACAAACGTCACGTAAATGAGCCAATTGGGCTGCTCGAATAGCCACATGGCAACTAATATACACAAAGAACACAACATAAGAAAAATCTCCTTCATTAATTTGCGAACAAATATAGAAATTTGAATGACAAAACACCGAAGTGTCAACCCCGGGGGCCCAAGCAACTACTAACCCTCCCGATGCATCGACTGCATCAACAAAAAAACAATGCGACAAAGGAAAGCCTAAACCCCGCATACGACGGGACACCACACGCCGGCTCGATCGCGTTTCCGAAAAAAATACGAGATCCGGTTTATTAGAATGAACCAGCCCTACAGCA